CTATTCATATGGCGTGGTTGCCATCAACATTGCAATACATACGATTCGAGCCTTCCACAAGTAATCAGGAAGGTAGATGCGGGACATTCGGATAGTTCATACTCAATGTCTGTTTTAGCGCAGAGAATTTTTCTAGCGATTCGCGATGGTGCATACTAAAATACACACACTGAATCGATGTTAGTGCCAAGAAATATTTGTTACGGCTGCCTTGAAAACTACCGAAGACGATGTGGCATTTCTAACTATCATCCTTCATTTCATGACATTAGCTGCAGGAGGACGTCACATACGGCTTGCTATCGTCTACTGGTGGTAGTTGATGCGCTAACGGTCACATACACATGGAACCGATGCTCTTCCAACAAGTGTTGCGACGTAATTCGGGGAAGATTTGAATGCCCCAAAAGTTTTCGAACAATTGGCCGTGGTTTGTGATGGTACTTTCTTGTGTCTTGAAGATACTAATAGTAAATGAAACGACCCGTAGACACCTGAAGATGGCAAACAGGCTTGCGGTAAAATCTACGTGTGGCATCTCGGAAGTCGGGATTCCGTTTACCTTTAAACAGACACGAGGAAATTTTTTGTAAGCTCGTAGCAAAACCAAAGGAGATATGAATCAGGTTGTTATTTTCGGCCCAAACCCAGGGTCTTGAAGAGTGATCTTCTTTCATCAGTGTTCCCGGTTATATTTTTAGGCGTGTAGACGACTGGCAGTTTGCTTATTCATCTCCTGAATTCACACGCTGTCGTCGTACTTGTTCCAAATGACATCGAATTATCCCGTCATCCTCCAGCTCTGACTGCACTGTACTAGCAGATTATACTCCCGTAACTCCTCGGAGCCGTTCCACCCGTTGGTCTTAGTTCCAGATTATCGCTTGCCTCAATCATACGATCCTTTGTTCTGTTGTCAAACCGGTGCTTTATCGAGGACTGGCGTTTCACGAGTGTTCTTGCAGTTCGGATTTGATCAGACCCAACGGAGTGTGCAGCCATCGCCCCATCGGAAGTTCACATGGTGGATCAGTGGAAGTGTGTGGTGTAATACAGTTGTGTCGTGGGAATTTGTCCAGGCGGGTTTGTAAGTTTCCGGACAGTTGTTTGGTTACATCCCTGTTTGATTGTCGCAGTCACTTTCTCTCAGTCCATTGACCAAGTGTGGTATAGTGTATGGAGAAGGTGCCCGACTCCAGTTTGACGGAGGAATTGTCCGAACTCGTGGCTGGTAAATGACGAGCCATTACTTGATATAACGGCACACCTCCGTCGTCAGAAATATATTATGGCTGCCACTGAACATATGGCTAACCTGCTGCTACCGCGCAGCTGACTGTCGTCAGAAATTTTTTGTGATTTCCGCTGACTTTGCTGATGACCTTTATGAATCAGTTCAATACACAAGGAAATTAGAACGCCAAGACCAGCCCGACCGAGAGATTCGGATTCGTGTTGTATGAGAGCTTAGTGCAATAAATAGGTTGTACATGACCACTAACACAAGCATATTGGAGATGCTAATTAATATTAATTAACACAACTCAAGCCGTTCAAGTTCATGGTCCCATCTGCCGCTGATCCCACTTAGATTGGCGTGTTGATCTCTACTCGAATTCGGTATCCAAATTGTAGATCGATCCAATGTAACGCCACGCTTCTCGGCTTGTACGCTGGCTCTCCGTAACAACATGGTAGGTCATGCACAGCGAACATGTTTTTCAACATGTTCACATTAGTCGACCTAATAATGAATGTGGTTGCCGAGCCTAGATGCTTTCGGGAGCTAGAGAATTCACTGTGCATTCTTTCTTGCGCGCTAGAGGGCTACTACGATGAAGATATTGGCAAAGACAGTGGGGATGATGTAATCTCTTGGAAATTACCGCACACTTTACGACTCTTCTTGTCTACTGTTCTACTCCAGGCCACCAGATACAATTGCATGCTTGTCCCTTGCTCTTTGAATTTCCTTGGCGACCCACATGAAGTTCCAGCAGGATTGCTTAACGGTGTCGCTTGCGAATGACGACTCGAGAGCTGCAAGTTATACCACAGTCCTCGAGACTCCGTTCCATTATTCCACTGTGAAATGGTCTTAGCCTTTCGTCTACCCTATCCGTCCAACAAATGAGTATGCAGTCACAAAGGTTCAGCGTCATTCCGTTTTCCACACTTGATCTCTGTTGTTGGGAGACAGGCGGATTGCTTAGTTCCCTTGCTACCCTCTGGTTGGCAAGTACCACTATAAGGTATCTGGTCTTTACTTAGCCATCGCCTGGGTTATATTCGTGATTCAGGTTTTCCAGGTGTTGTATAAGTGGACCCCATTTTTGTCGGACACGTGACTTCAACTACGTACGGTACTGGGAACATGTACGTGCAGGAAAAGGACTCCGGTTTTCCTACTGGGAATGCAACACAGTCTATGTGGCATGACGCTTGGCTGTAAAACCTAATCAAAGCGTCGAAAGTGTGCGAGCAGACAAAGTGAAGAATGATCGATGGAACAGAATCAGCCAAATACACACAAAGAGGGGAAGTGAGCGTTAGCGTCAAAGTGAAATCGTGTTCTGCACCCAGAATCAACGACCATAAACAACCAATAGCGTTAACAAAATGCTGCGTTCACATAAGCGTTGGTAAATGAGAGCAGTGAAACCTAAGTCTGCGGTTATGAACGTTTATGTAATCATACTTGAATTATTATCACATCTATAGCACCCAGATCCCGTATGAAGAAATGGTTCACAGGAAGCGCATGTTAATCACGAAGTTGCTCCAATCACCGTTCTCATGTACATCCACGTACGAAGTGAGGCTATCATGATCCTAACCTGCCGTCAAGCCACCAAACGCTCATGCCTCCATTCTAGTGCATACGTATTTAATATTTACTGATTTGTATTGGACATAGGGCGGTAAGCGATGCTATGGGCTATGCAGCGTAAGTCACTGGCAATCCTTCTTCAGCAACGTGCATTCTGCGACTCGCGTGCAGCAAGGCTGTTAGAGGAAGTCATGTTTTGTTTCACTGAGGTAAATGCCGCTAGAGTGTCAATTTCTATTGCTTCCCGGTTCTTCCTCTCCAGGCCCAAACGCTTCCTATTCCATAACCCACATCACGTGAAGTGTTCTGGTGTTTTCCGAGTTGGAGTACTGTTATCAGTGGTCCCCACATGCCACGATATATTGTTGAAGTAAGTAAGCAAAATATAGCATGTTGTTTCGAATATCAACTTCAAGTAGGTAATTGAACGCTATTCGGTTGGCTTTTTACCATTAGATGGTTTTGACTGAGCGCACCGGTAGCTCATTCATAACGGCACAATTGTAGCTGCAAACGAAGCAACGCTGCAATAATTTCGAAGGATGTGCCAATCGCGCGCTTATTTACAAAACTTTGCATGTATGGTACAGCATAATTAGTACAATTAACCTAGTTATTTTTATCTATTTAATTTTAATTCATTAAAAACCAGCTCTGCTGTTCCGACTCCTCCGTAATACATTTTCATTTAACTGAGGCTCCCATTTGTTTTAGCACTCTCCTGCCTCGCCACGTTTTATGCATTCAGTATCTGTTGCTCAGCGTTTTGTCTGGATCCCGAGAGAAGCTATACAAACTGGCTTCGCGCCTTTAATTTCCACAATAGTTAACATTGTAAAATGTATCATTTTTAACATCGGGTCCATTTTCCACCTTTCTGTTAATTGTGTCCTAAGCCTATGCTGCTAGAGGCCAAGGTTGTCATTGACATCAGTATACGAAGAATGCTGGTATTGTGAGCACTGTAGGATAAGCTGCACGACGAATAACCGATAGTCGTGGAGAGTTGTGACTCTCTTCTGTACCGACGCTGCACTCCACGGTGTGGTAACCATGTGAACAAGATCGATCGGCTCAAGCTTATTGGTTGGCTTGCTGATTGATGCCTACTTTACCATTGGTCGTGTGTCCGTCGTTTGACTCTCCGTTTAACAAGGGATTGCGACTCGGTTGTACTTGGTTATTTTTACGAGACACATTTTTACTTGTTCTGCGACTTTCTTGATACAGCACACGGTTGACCGGTTTTGTCCTGAATTGGAATCGGTAGGAAAGGATGTCTTGAGCTGAGAGTGGTTGGGGGTTAATGTCTTGGTCACTAAGTCAGACTCCCGCCAGCGGCGCTTGACACAGCTCCATAAGCCGTCAGCCACGATGTGTTGTGTTGAACTCTCAGCTCAGGCCATCACCATCTGACGAGTCCAAAACGGGATGCAACCGGTCCCTTCTGCAGTGCAGTGTTGGGAGACAGCTGCCCCGAAACTCTGCATCTCTAGTGCAATCCCAAAGGTTTGCGCCAAAGCAAACCGTGGCCTGAATGGAAATTGCATCTCGCAATCCAACCAAACGGCGTGTACTCCAAGACCCAACAATGAACACATTAGTCGATTGCGGGAAGAAATAAGGGTACGGTAATGACAGCCAAGTGCTAAGTAGCGGTGCAGCAACGTGAGTCTGGTCAGAGGTTTACCAACACAAGTCAAATCAAGGCGTTTTTGAGTTATCACTTGCAAGATTTAAACAAATCCAGTTTTTCCAATCCCAAAATGACGGGCTATTTCTACCTTATTCTCTTCTTTCCTCTGAACGGTTGAGAGACTAACATGGAGACAAACATGCAATGTTATCAGGACCGACTCTTGCCTAGTTGATCCGTAGCTTGTTGATTGTTACGTCGTGGAGAAACAAGGATGTCAGTAGAACAAGGTAGCCGTTGGCTTCGGCACTATGTTGGAAAATTTGAAAGGCCACAGTACAATGACGCGAAAAACGTGGGAACACCATAAGCACAGAAAACGTAGATGCAAATGTAATGGTTATTGTGTGATTTTCCCAGTTGTTTAGAGGGACAACTTGTGCCTACTGTTCATACCGGAAAACGGGTTACATAATGGCGAAATCTACTGCACCACCGTTATTCACACGCACACACACACACACGCACACACACCTGATCCAGTAATGGAATCCTTTTTAGCTTTCTGGAACAAGGTTACTTCATCTGTTGCACAACCTTGCCCAAGTGGGGGTTCTTCCACTCTAGTGTTCCATACATGCCTACCATCTGGCTTGATTATATATTCTGGAGAGATTAACAATGCGGCTGGCGATTCGCTGAAGACATTATGTGGGTTGAAATGATTGTATGACTTTGAAGCAACGTCATCGGTCGCATCCTCGCTTGTACTGGACGATAACTCGACGCAGCCCATATAACAAGCCAGAGTGTCTTTATCTTCAGAAGGGGAAGTAGATTCTCCAAGCACTTGCAGCACAGGACCTTCATTATGGGTATTGGATGGCACTTTGTGGCTCGCCACATTCTGTGACAATTCGACTGAGCTCATCTTCTACAATTAGGCTATGATTAAAACAATGGAGAAGTATTCTTTAAGCCATGACCACCATAACAATCGACATGAACCAACAACCCTTTGATATGTTGGAAAGATCGCGTTATTGATCGATGTCAGTCTAAGACTACTAGACTTTCAAAGGTAATTCAGTATTGTCTGGAGGACCACATCACAACTGAATGGATGAGATGGGCTAGACATATTTGTAAACCCACCATATTACCACACTGAATAAATCGCACCTTGAAACAAAAGTTAGTGAACAAGCTTGTTTACGTGATTAAGGAGGACAACTATTCCGCGCGTATTTTTTAGATACGTACTTTCAGTAGGTCATAAGTATGCGTACACACACGATACCATTTCCACACTCTAGATCTAAATTTATTGCCAGCATAAGCTAGCTAAAAGGATCATCGGTCTTAAATTGAACCGGGGCTAGCCTGGTTAGGATGCAGTGCATAATGCATATGGCATGGTTGCCAGCTTACGCTTTTTCAATCATTGTCCTCTCTAGTCCTGTCCTGTAGCTGTTATATTTTTTACTTCCATGACGTTGTGAGGGATCTTTCTTTTGGTTGTGGAAACATCATAAACAAACTATGGAAATATCGAACGCATTCACTGACTTTCTCCAAGGGTAAGATTATCTCTAGCGGTGACAAACACCTGTCCCGTTCATCACCAAGCTAACACGAGATTCTAAGTATAAATAAAACCATAATGTGTCAGCTGTACACCGTAACGGTGCTTCGCTGCCGCACGACCACCACCAGTCGCGCGCGGGCTGTGTATACCGCGAGGACGCCCACCCCTAGGCGGATTCGAACCGATGACCTTATGGTTGCAAAGCAAACGTGCAGACCACTCGGCCACCGGCCGACTCTAAGTATAACTAAGACAAAGGCATATCTAGCAAGTTGATGGATCCAATAATTCGATTGACTGGACGGTGCGATTTGTTAAGACAAGATCGAATAGGTGGGCGGTGCGATCACCGCCATCAATGATGTGACTTCACACCTGCTTTCCTAAGCCTTGGTAACCAACTGCATCCAAAACCATTGTTATATTTTCCGGTGTGGGGTGCGATAATCTATGGATAGGGCAAACCGTCAACACGTATCCTCTTCTGTGTTATCCACAGCTCAGTTCGTATAACGACATACATTACTGGGTAAAAGAAAATGTGCACTTGACCTAAATAGATTTAGTGAAGGGTGGGTAGCAATGTCACAAGGACTGTGCAGAAGCAGAGGAGGCAAATCCCCAGTAGACGGTTTCGACGTGCTCTGAGCAGAGTAGTCAAGCCATAATCGCTTTTCATATATCTTACTCCGAGCTGTGACGTTTTGATAACATTCGAGAACTTACCAGCCAAGCGTGTTGTGATTGGAACCACAAGTCAACGCCTGCCAGGCGAAGCACTTGACCGGCTGTTCTATGGTGACTAGTGTGGTGTGTGCGGACCTTGTCCATAGATTACAGCCGTGTCCTCTTACGTGTCTTGTTCTGACAAAACAGCAGAAGGTTCTCTGTTGTTATTCATTATGTTCGAATTACCTTCGTGAACAACGATGGCAACAGTTAGTGGGTAGCAGATGGAAATTTCCAAGGGTGGAGTCTTCTCAAAAAGACGGGAAGAGTTAAGTGGGCTCAGGAGACACCACCTGCGACTAGACTAACTAATGATTTTTATAGGCGAAGTTGGGACTCGTCTTCTGTTTTAGTGGGGCAACCCCATCTGATCCATGGATTCACAGAAACAGTTTCATCACACATCAGCCCTAATCCACAAAGCTAACGTATAACCAGACCACTACGCATCATCAATGTACTTCCTTACTGTTCACCTGCAGATCAGTTAGCGCCTTGTAGCTGGCCGTCTGTGTCTTTAAATAATAACAAAATACGTTTCAGCACTAGTGCAGATGAGACGAGAGAAGAGCGAAGAACCAGTTGGCAGACAGTTGTTCACCGCTTTCGGGATGGTGGACCCATTTTCTGACGACTCTGTTTTATTGCCTGTGAAATTGCCTTTCAAAGTGCTCAGCCCAACGCTCTAAGCGTTTTGACAAGTTGTGGAGAAGCTGTCTAATCTCGTCGCGTATAGTTTGCCTAACACCAGTTCTCTTGCTGCCCGTTTCCTGTACCGGACGGAATGACTTACAATGGTTACCAAGGGCAGCGGACGTTTTCATCACGGATGCATGATGAGACCACCAGGAGTCGCGGTTTCTCTTCAGGCTAGCCCAGAGTTTTGTTCGAAGCACATTGCGAGTCTCGTTGTGATCGCTTCCAGCCGGAATGTGCCGGCGAGCATCGATAATTTTTAGAGACTGCGAACAGACCCAATGTCCATTTTGGCGATTACTTACCACATGGAGCTTTGCCTGTTGCTAGTAAGGTCTGGTGAATACGAGACCAGTGAGCTTCAATAGCATCCAGTGAACCTTTACTCAACTCGCATGACAGCGTACTTTGATAGCCATTCAGAACAGCTGGTTTCGCCAGTTGGCTGGTGTCAATGCGCTCACAGCGTTGTCGTGGGCGTCCGCCAAAACGCATCCGCAAGTCAGTACATACAAGTGCACGGTGGATATCCACACATGCGCTCCAAATCGAGCGAAAGTACTGAACGCAGCCTCTCCATCCGTAACTTATCGCAATGTGATCGATTTGCATCAATTGCTGGTTCGAGGCTAGTTGGCGACAAGTCACTCTCCGGCGGGTGCCCTGTTGGAAATTAGTGATTGCAAGCAATAAGCGAGCATCTTCACACAAATAAAGCAACGGATCACCGGTATCATTACGGCAGCCTACACCATGTTGGTCGCCCAGATCGGTAGATGATATTTCAACTTGAGCGTTCAGAACCCTAGCCAACACTAGTGTCCGAGCTTCTTCTGTGGCAAAGGAGCTGGGTCAGTCGGCAGTAGAAGTTGTCTTTTACCGAATCATCGCTACAGTTTGTCAGTGCATAGGCAGCGATGACGAATAGACACCTGTTAGTCCCGCGTGACTTCGAAGCTTTTAACGAGCCAGCCAATCGGACCGCACCCATCCAGCTTTTGATTGAGATCTAATCAAGCCGAGCAGCTTCAGCCAGGGGATTCAGGGCAATACGAACACCGACTTCGCTGCTACTGGAAGCTGCATCGTCACCGGGAAGGTGCAATGAGAAAATACTGCTGGTGTCACGTGAAGGGGATCACAAAGTGAGCACAGAACTCAAATTTTCCAGGCTGCTCTCCGATAAGCAGCGGATATCGATGGAGAGAATCTCTAATGTTCGGGCAAGTGCTGCCTGTTGACCGATCTGTAGCAATGCGCATACATTGGGGCACGCCAATGTGAAGGAGGATCGAAGGCTCTAAATGGAAACCGATGAACTGGGTTTGACCGATTGCTCCGACATGGTCTTGTCAACAGGACAGGAATGACGCTCCGCGTTCACATTTGAGTTGAAACTAGAATGTAAAAGCCTATCAAAGCATGGTGGGGGAGGGCCCAGAAAAAGGGTGGTTGCAAATGGGTGGATAAAAGTGGAGTGGGAGCGGGATGATAAGTGTGAAAAAACGTAAGAGGGCGAATAAATACATGGGACGGCTTGAGCAGTTGCATCCAAACCCCTGTCTACCTTGCTCTATGCACCAGATAGGGCACAATTGATTATCCTATGCGACGGACAGAGCATCAGAAAATTGTTTGGTGAAAGATTCATAATATTGCGTGGGCAGGATACTGTCAGGTTTTCCAAGCCTAGACAGGAGAACGCTTAGGGTTCTCAACCAAGGCCTGTGGTTCAGAAACCTGACCGCAAGGCAGCGCGTTTTGGCATTAGGCTACAAGGAGTCAGTTACAAGCAATAAGGAGCCACCCTCATTCCAACCCCCAACCTGGAGGATCAGTTGAACACTCTTCCCGAATGAAGGCGCATGTGCCAAAATGGATTCCCTGTGAGATAATGAGACAAGCAAGTCCAAGTCGGACTACGTGTGTACACAGGCCGCCGGCATCTTCGTTCGGTAGGCAATTATTGACTTCGGCTCACTGAATTGAGGTTAACAAGGCGCTTAACATTCTGCCTCTCCTCCTCCGGTTCGCCGACGCCATTGGTATTAATCGGATTAATCCAGTGCTTTGTGTGCAGACACAGTTATCGGTCAGCCGAAGGCTGCTTTGGTTGTAGGAGCAAGTCATCAGCTCCTTCCCGTATTTCTTTGTATGTAGGTCTGCACCCACAAACTGTTGTATAAACTTATTGGTTATTGTTATCGGCACTGATAAGAAGATACGAAATGCCTGCATCTGTCGAAGTTCGTCTTTCTATTGTTCTTTCAAAAGCCGAATAAGTCCATCAATCCCCGTCAACGTTCATCCGGCGCAATCGTATACTCTCGCGCACAATCCTCCATCGGAAGACGAGTCGAAGCCTACGGGAGGCGCTCCACTGGTTGCCCTTGTACTCAGTCGCTACAGCACTGATACTGCCACGCTGAGTGCGACTCGGCTGCATGAGCAATACAAGCTGCTACGTATTCCACGTGACAGGAAACGCCACCGCAGCATCAAGTAAACATGGGATAGGACCCGCAGTACCCGAGCTGCCGACTAGATAACCGATGATAGAGCTCACTGACAACAGCCCGTTGTTGGCCCTTCGCCTACTCATCGGACGATGTATGTTTGTAAATTTATTATCATGTATGGCCCCACCGTGTGTTAGCGCGATGAACGAAGGAAAATGTTTCACTCAGTTGTTCTACGACGTGCTCCAAGCAGAGGAGCGACCGGATATTCTAATGCAGGTGTGTCCACATTCCGGCCCGCAGTTAACACTTCAACTGGCCCGCGGCCTCATCATGAAATAATAACTTCACGTTAAAAGCTTGCAATAAAAATTTATGACATGTAATTTTTGCTAATATTTTAAAGTCAGACTGAATATGGCCAGACATATTTTCACCTCACAACATGTGACTCTCCAT